CAGCCACTGAACACAGTCTGAGACTGCAGGGCTCTATTTTCAAGGAAAATGTATCTTCCCTGCTAGAACAATGTGCAAACATTTCTTGGATCATCTCCCTGTATCAAAATCACTGAGAGAATTAACAGTGTGGTGAAAAGGGTGAGAGCTTCTCTAGGTTAACACACAGGATCAGATACTCAACCAAACTCAGTCAGTGTAAAAAATGAGATTTCTCTAACCATATAATTTGATTTACTGTTCTGTGCAGAAAGAGGTGCTGGGTGGTAAATCCCAGAGGCAGCACCCCGAGGCACAGTCTTGGGCTATTAAGTCTTACTTAAGTTACTACTTGGCTTAAGTTGTTACTGGCGCGTGGTGGTCTTTTTGTAGGGGGAGATGCCTGAGCTGGGGTGTGGCTTTTACTGTTATAAGGAGCAAAAGTTCATCCCTAGGGCAAGTTCTCAGTACAGAACCAGTCAAAACCGGGGATTTTTTTAGTTCATCATTACACATCCTGGACTAGGAGGGTGTTATCTTTCTGTGTTTTCCCCTTTCAAGAACTTAGGCCATAAATTTTCTCTCTTCCACATTCCTGTGACTGTTGCTTCCATTGCTTAACCACTTTGTTCTTTACCTTGTTTGGAACTTAACTCCCATTATTCATCAAGGTGGTGAGAGGAAAGCTAATGTCTTTATAGACAATTTGATGAGTGACACTACTGGTATTAACATTTTTGAAACGGGTCTTAATGTCTGTACTAACTTTGGGCAGCAGGTTTGTTGCAGAGACCAGACAGCTTAGCTCCTGAAACAAACAAGTGGGTCTGCACAAACCTCAACTTCTCAACTTTGGGGAAAAATAGTAGGTACAAGGGGGAATATGTGGTAGGCAGTTTGGGAAGGCTGTACCTTCTGAGTACCTCAGCCGATGGAGAAAGGAAGAGGACAACCTGCAGCTGGGAGTTGAAGATAGAGGCTGTGCCCTCCGAAACCTTGAGAGAAAACCCCACGGGCTTGTGTGGGGTTTTCAATTTTATTCAAATTTATTCAAATAAAATTGCAGCACTCCTCTGTCTCTCCTGTATGGACATAAACTTCTGGCGTTTGTGGATTTTCCTGACAGTGGGAACCAGTACTGGGGCACCTGTGGGGAATCCCACTAGAGGATGAAGGTCCACTTGCATTGGTCCAAGAAGTTGAGTCCATCTTTAGACAAGGTACAATTATGTCTTTTCATATTTAAGTTATGATAGTGATTGATTTGTGGCCCTGACAAAAACCAAGATAATTTGAAAAAGCACAAGCAGTAACGAGCCAGAGCAGAAATTAACTGGAGCCACAGACCAACCAGACATGGAAACAAACTGGAGCTGCAAATAAGCTGAAGCCGGAAAGAAGCCGGGGGAAAGTGAACCAAACTGGAGCCTAAAACATGCTGGAGGCACGAACAAACCCTATGAGCTGAACCTGAGACACACTGGGGACAGAAACAAACCCTCTGAAGCTGCAAATGAGATGAAGCGGAAACTAAAGAGAGCCTTCCCCGAGCTGGAGTCCCAAAGGAGCGGCAGCCGCCAGCTCCCGGCAGCACCCCCGAAGGCAGCGCCCCTCAGAGGCTCCCGCGGCCCCGGCCGGCGCCGCCCCCTGGCGGCTGCGGCGCGGCACCGCAGCCCTTGCGATAAGGCTGGACACCCACCCCTGGGAGACGGCTCCGGGAGGGACGCCGGTAGGAACATGAATCCACGGTGTCAGAGGTTTGTGTCCCAAAGAGAGACAGAGGAGTCGCGTGGCTTTGTTTGAATAAAGGGAGAGGCCATGGCAATTTCCCACCGGGTCTCCCAGATTGTTGGGGGACTCAGCCCCCTTTTTATCCTAAGTTCCTGGCCGCATCACCCTGTTCCTCTTTCCCGTTGGCTGAGATACTTGGAAGGTACAGACTTCCCAAATCGCCTCCTCTATGCCCCCCTCTGATACGCAGCCCCCTTTTGTTATATAAAGGAAGGAAGTAAAGGTATTCATAATTGTATTGAGTCTTTGTTCTTTTTCTCTAGGTTCAGGAATTTAACACGGCCTTGGCTAAGCAACATTCTGTGTCGATTAGTAACATTTTCTAGAACTAATAGTTTCTTCTGTTACTTCCCTATCTGTAAATTCCTAGCTCTATCTATAAGCAGATTGAGGTCTGTTTCTAAAGACACATTTATCGTATTCCTTTCGGACACCATGCCTGGGATGGATACCGTAGCTAGAATAAGGACACTGTAGTTTGAATGTGACACCATAGCTGGGATATCACATTCCCGAACATGGCAGAAATACCCTCATACCCTCCCATCCCCACCTTCAACCCATAGATTAACCAGCCACAGCCATAAAGAATTTGTGAAAAAACATCTTTACCACTGAAATCACTTGAGGCAGAAAACAAGTTTTCCATGGCTGGGAAGGTCTCAGAAAGAGTCTCATGTCTCCACCCAGACATGTCCCTCTCCACGGCCCTCTGGCCACAGGCGCTTCCATGTCCCCTGTGCCATCACACACTCCTCCGTATGCCCCACTCCAGACAAGCACCTTTCCATGCTGGCCCTGCCCATATCACCCTGAGCCACCTGGGACCACATGTCCTCCCCGAGGCGTGTCCAGCCCATCTCGCACGGAGACAGCCCGGGAGGGGAGCAGGACCAGGGATGGCTGCGAAGGGGAAGCCACGGCTCCCTCAGGGTGCGCCACGGCTCCGCCTGGGCCTAGCCCCGCGCCCTTGCCCCGCCCACCGGCCTCTGCCCGCCAATCAGCTCTCGCTGCCCGCCAGCCTTGGCCAATCGTGACCCGCTTCCCTCACCCCCGGTGCCCCGCCCCCACCGCCCGCCGCCAGGGCCGCTCCTCCCGAGCCAGCGCCGCCGTTTCCGGCGCCGGGGCCGCCATGGTGCGCGCGGTGGTGCTGCTGGCGCCGGGCGGCCCCGCCCCCTGCCGCGTGCTGTACGCGCGCTCCTTCGGGACCCCCCCCGGCACCGCCACCGCCACCGGCACCGGCACCGGCACCGGCACCGGCACCGGCACCGGCCCCGCGGGGCCCCGGCAGCGCCTCCGCCGCAAAGAGCAGCTGCTGGCTGTGGCCAGGTACGCCGGGACATCCCCTCCGCGGGAGTCTCCTTCCGGCGGGGGCTGGGCACGGTGTGCCCTCCGTCTCCTGAGCCCTCTGGGCTTGGGACACCTCACCCGTGTCCCTGGGATCCCCGCAGCCGTGATACACCCTTTGTTTGGTGGAAGGGCTCTTGGGCTTTGCCTGGCCCCAGGGCTGGGACGCCTCTTGGCTGTGGGACACCTTGCATTCCTGAGGAGAGCCTGTGGCAGCCCCCCTTTCGGGGGACACCAGGTTCTCGGCGAGAACCCCAGGACTATTCCCCCCCCCCCCCCTCCCGCCATTCGTGGGATCCACCCTTCCTGGGGATCCTGGGACACTCTTTCCCCAACAGAGGGGTTACTGTCCCGGGATGAGGTGGGGGTCCTTAACACGAGGGTACCCCTTTTCTCTTCCAGGCAAGTGGCCTCCCAGTGTCAACTACTTCAGTCGTCCTTGGGGCGCCCGTCCTCCCCACAACTTCCCCAGCTACCCGATGAGCCGATGTCACTCCAGGATGCTCCAGGGGGTCTTTTCCAGATGCCCCCTGGAGACCCATTCCCTGAGCGGGTGACAGTAGTCTGGTTATCAGTGCTGGCCCTCACCTTCGCCTTGGTTTGTGAACCCCAGGAGAATCTGTCGTTGGCTGAGATCACCCTGCGGCGCCTGGCTCCCCGCCTGCTCCTCTCCCTGCGCCTCCTTGGCCCCGGCGCTGACGTCCTGCTCCGTCCTGATGCCGCTGATGGCCTCCTGGACCGTCTCCTGCCCCATGGGCAGATGCTTTTTCTCAATGAACGTTTCCTCCAGGCAGTGGACCGAGAGCTGGGTATCAAAGCATCCCGCTGAGCTACAGATGGCATTCCTGCTTACCACCCCCAGATATTTTTGAGGGATGAGAAACAAGGGAGAGATCTGAGGTGGTCACCAAGACCCACTGGGATGGATGAGAAACACAGTTCAGGAATAAAGAGCAATGAGCCAGATAAGAGCAGGGTTTTGATCCATTTATCTCCCAAACAGCATAATGGTAGAGCTAATAGCCATCCCCATAAATCCACCTGTCACAGGGCCAGACCCCAAAGTGCTTTCCCTTGTAACTGCACTGGTAAAGCTGGAGCACTTGAGGAGGGGTGCTGGGCACGGGGCTTCAGCCATGATGGGTCTCTGGCTGTGTTGGGGGATCTCACTGTGCGCTGGAGCTGTGGGGGCATTGCAACCCACTGTGGCATCCCACCCTTAAGGGGAAGGGAGCACTGTCTTCACCTTCCCATGTGATAGCAGCTGTCACCCACAACTGGCTTGAATACAACCAAGAGCCAAAGAGATGTTATCCTGGAGTGTTTCAATGGTGTTAGCAATTAATTGTTGATGAGAGTCAACTGGAATCTGAATGGATGGGCCATTATTGTATCTGCACTGATAGGATTCCAGTTGCTGGATTTCAGTATCACCTGGTTTATGGCCAAAATTCTCTTGCAAATCAGCCACCTGAATTGGATCAAATGGGATAGTTATTTGTGTGTGATTGTCCTCTCCATCGTGAGGTCTAGCAGATTCAGGGGGAGTTGAAGGAGATAAAGAATCATCTTTTCCCAGTTCTCTGTTATGGGGATTGCCCTGTATGTTTCCATACCATGTAAGTCTGCCAGACTTTTCCTGGAACTTTGGCCACCATATATAGCGCCGTTTTGGTGGCAGTTTGCTGACCCTGTCCATCATCTGTATTTCAATTTTAAGTAAAGACCATGATGTTATTTCCTCATCATCAGATGAAAATGTTGCATGTATTTGTTTGTCAGGGTAACAGACCCGTTTACTCTCTTCCATCTTCCTCATTGGATACAGAAGGTCAGAGTAGTGAGTCTGTATTTCTGCAGATGGTCCAGATGCTCTGTCCTGCACTGGTGCCTCCTTTCCCAGAGACCCCATCTTCCTGGGCCAGGCACCACTTGGCTTCTGCTTCTCCTTGATCTCCTGGGGCAAAAGCAGCACCTGCTCCATCATGGTGGGCTCCTGTACTGCACAACCTACCGGATCAGATCATCCAGGATGCAGCAGATCAGCTTATTCATCCCTTTCCTACAAGAGGCATCAAAGGAGCACTCAGGAGGGCGCCCTCAGCCAGGTCCATAGCTGTGCTCGGTAGCTGAGCCAGCTCTCATTAATCTTTACAGTTTGGGTGTGGCAGGAGGGTGGAGGTGCTAGGGCTCCTGGGCACCAGAGCACATGGAATCCTGAGAGGTGTGGCTGCCTGCAATGGGGGCCCTGCATGGCAGAGCTGTCTCTGTACCTCCACAACCCCATGACACTCATTAAAGGGGCTATAGCTGGGGGAGAAGTTCAGCCATGTGGGAGGAGAGGTGATGCTGGGCTCCATTCCCAATCTCTCATGGCTTGGTGCATAGCCAGCATCCACATTACCAAAGTATCCTACCAGGGATCAGGGCGCGTTCCCGTGGCACTGGCAATACCTCTGTCACATGTGATTTGGGCTGGACTTTGCCTGATGGGGCACTGTGGACTTTGTCTGATGGGGCACTGCCCCAGGCACAGTCTTGACACCGGATCCAGTACTGCCTCAGGCACAGTCCTGGCACAGGTGCTAGCCAGTTCGGAGGTTGTGAAGGCTACCAGCAGGGAAGACAGCCAGTGCTGTGTGGACCCACTGTCAGCCATGGAGCAGGAAGATGCAATCAGGCAGGAGCTGGGAAGCCTCCATGGCATCCCCCTCTACAAGAGCTTCATTGAGGGCTGGCCGCAGGTGAAGGCTTTCCAAGCACGTCCAGACGACCTGCTCATCTCCACTTACCCCAAATCAGGTGAGTGGTCCTGGGGAAGGGTGCCAGGGGCATGGGGTGACACCAGCCTTTGCAATGCTGTCCCTGTGCGGCAGGCACAACGTGGCTGAGCGAGGTCATGGACATGATCTACCACAATGGCGATGTGGAGAAGTGTCGACGGGATGCCATCTACAACCGTGTGCCCTTCTTGGAGTTGAAGGTCCCCAAGATGTGTGGTGAGCTTCCCCAGCCTGGCTGCCTGGCTTGGGTAGAGAGGGAACTGAGCTAGCATGAGGGTGAGGGTGCTGGGGCTCAAACACCTAAGTCCCCTGTGCCACAGGCGTTGACCAGCTGGAGAACACCCCATCCCCACGGCTGGTAAAGACCCATCTCCCGGTCCAGCTCCTCCCGACCTCCTTCTGGGAGAAGGACTGCAAGGTAACATGGCAGGTGCTCCCTGTCTCCCCATCTGGGTTGGTGGGGAGGAGGCACTACTCTGTACCTCCAAACACATCCTTGGTTCTCTCCAGATTATCTACATGGCCCGCAACCCCAAGGATGTCGTCATCTCCTACTACTACTTCCACAAGATGGCCAAGATACACCACGACCCTGGCACAAAGGCTGAGTTCTTGGAGAACTTCATGGCCGGCAAAGGTGTGAGCTGAGCCACAGGATGCCCACTCTGCCATGCCAGTGGGAAGGACATCCCCCGCTACCCCTCTTTTCAGCTAATCCCTTGACCATATCCCACAGTGCCATATGGATCCTGGTATGACCACGTGCGTGGATGGTGGGAGAAGAAGCAGGAGAAGAAGATACTCTACCTCTTCTATGAGGACATGAAGAAGGTGAGGGTGGGATGGAGGGGAAGTAGCCCTGGTTGCCCCCCCACTTTTTTGACAGCCTGCTCATGTCAGTCACCCTGCAGGACCCACGGCAGGAGGTGCAGAAGATCTTGCAGTTCCTGGGCAAAGAGTTGTCAGAGAGAACAGTGGAGAGGATCCTGCACCACACCTCCTTCCAAGAGATGAAGAAGAACCCTGCTGCCAACTATGAGACCATGCTCCCCGCCTTGATGGATCACAGCATCTCCCCCTTCCTCCGGAAAGGTGGGGGTTCAGCCAGTGGTGGAGGATTTGGGAGGGATGTCTCTGGATTGTATTTCAGCCCCCATCTGTGGCTGCAAATATATCATGCGTGTGAGGATTTACCCCAGTTATTTTCTTGCTTCCAGGGATCTCTGGAGACTGGAAGAACCACTTCACTGTGGCCCAGAATGAGCGCTTTGACCTGCACTACCAGGAGCTCATGGCAGGCTCTGACCTCCACTTCCAGATGGAAGTGTGAGGGGCTCATCTCCCTTTCCAGGAGGACTGTGCTTCTTGCTCTCCCAGTGGGGAGGATGGATCCACATGGAGATGCTTGCACCAATTCACTTTTCCCCCTGCAATAAATTGTGATAAATGGAAGCTGAGTCATTGCCTGTAGGGAAAATGAGGGTGGGGCCTGAACCCCCAGAAGTCTAGGCAGTGTCTAGGAGCGCCTACATGGTCATCAGGAGAGAGGGTGGGCACACAGTGGATTTTTAGTTAGTGATGGTCAGGCATCACTAACTAAAGGAGTGGGCACCTTCCCAGAAACCACCACTGGCCCTTGACAATTTGGGCTGCCCCAGCCTACCATGGTGCCTGGAGAGAACAAAGATCGATGAGTAGTGGAAAATCCCCAGAGCACCGGTAAATCCAGTGCTGACACAGCCCTTGCGTGCACAAGAGCTTTCATATCGCTGGGTTGTGCCAAGTTTCTTGACAGAGTGGGTGGTGGTGGTCAGGCTCTCCTTGGCCCTGCTGGAGCTTGGCAGCCCATAGTTTGTGGAACACAGGTGAAGGGAAACAGCTCCCTGCTGGTATGTGGCCAGGCTCAGTAACATCACTGTCCTTGTTGGATAAAGAACACACCTTTCAGCCTGTAACCTGGCTGCACCTTGCCCTTGCTCCGGGATGCCTGGAGCAAACCAGTCCCTGTCTCACTGGGGGCAAAGGTGTGCTTTGAAACCCCAAGTTCCCCTTTTAAGCCCCATTTCTGGACAGTTCTTCAGTTTTCAAGATTGCAGATTCTTGGCAAGACAGCCTTGTGGGGTTGTTCTATCCTGAAAGAGATGCAGCCCAGATCCAACTGCTAAGAGCAGCAGTGCTATGAGGGGACCTGCCTCACAGAAATAAACCCTTTGCACACATTCATTTAAATGCCATGCTGCCATCTCCAGTGGAGATGTCTTCCATTGAAAGATGTTTCTCCAGCTCCTGGCTTTGCCTGCCCTGTTTGCACACGCAGCAAATTTTGCTGGCAGTGGACAGTGAAACACCTGAACACCTGCCGTGGCATGCCTCATCTTAGCAGGAACTTGGCCCTGAGAGGAGACAAATTAGGGACGTTTTTCTCAAGGCTGCCAACAGCTGAGCTGCTGACCCTGCCCAGCTGCCATCTCTCCTGCCCTTTGCACTCCCTCCCAGCTAAGGTAGGGAAGAACATTTCCCCACCATCAGCACCTTTAAACGCTTTTCGCAGGAGCACTTGTGCTTTGCAACCCCGCAAACTTTGGACCCGTATTTGAGTGGAGTAGGGGTATCACCAAAGCCTGAACTCCACATCCCACTCGCAAGCCCCACGTCGGTGTGAGGAGCTGGGGACGTCCACGCAGGTGACTCTTGGACCGGGACAGGGTGATGTTCAATGTCCCGGGATGTGGGTTGGGATTTCCTCCCTGTGTTTACTTCAGCGGGCGGAGGGGGAAGCAGTGGTTTCCGCCGTCCCGACGGGCCCGGAGCACGGACAGCTCCTCACAGGCATTTGGGGACCGTTCTCATCCCCGCTCGCCCATCCCTGCTCCCCTCCCACCGCAGCACCGGGACCGGGTCGCTCCAGACTACTGTCCCAGCGGTGTCCCCCGCCTCGCTGCGCCTCCATCTTCCGTGCGGGGGAAGGAAATCAATAAATCCCGCCCCGTAAGCGGCGGGCCAAGCTTTGCCCCCTCCCTGCCGGAGCACCCGGAAAAGAGGCAAGTAACCGGGGGGCTTTGTCCACGGCCATTTCGGGGTACCCTGGCCTCATAAGCGGGGACCTGCGGGGGTGGATGCGGGGGCTCCGTGTCCCCGCAAGCCCCCGGGAGATGGAAGCAAGACACCAAGCCTCTCTCCAAAAATCACAGCGTGGGGGTTTTGCCGCTGGCACGCTTAGCGTTTCTATCTGTGCCGTGGGTAGAAAGGCTTCCCAGGGAGAGAGAGAGTCCTGTGAGTTCTGCTCCTTGTTCCTGTCTCTGTCAAACCCTCATTCAAGCCCCCTGAAAGCAAGACTGCTGTACGACAGGGAGATGGGGAGGAAAAAGCAAAGAGAAAGCAGCCTGCAACTCCAACCAGGAATGCCCTTGAGAGTTTTTGAGCACTGCCAGCTTGGTATGGGCAGCTGCCCACTGCCTGTCCGACCTGAGCCCCCCAGAGCTGGCCATGCCCTTCCACTCTCCCTGCACCACCATCTGGGCCCCAAAATGCCCACAGAAAACAGGTGTCACCTCCTGCAATGCCAGCAAGCCGGGCATGGTTTCCTTTCTATGGCTAGGGCAGCTGAGTTCAGCAGGGATTTTGGAGCCCCTAGGGAAGGAGATGGCCCTATGATGCTCCTTGCTGCCAGCCAGCCTTGCCACATGTCCCTGTCCCCAGCAGGATGGCCAATTCCGACACCTACCTGCGGCAGCCCTGGCGCACCGTGCACGGCATCCCCATGGTCAGCGCCTTCGCCCTCAACTGGGAACGGGTTGACAGTTTCCAGACCCGCCCTGAGGACATCGTGGTGGTCACCTACCCCAAATCTGGTGAGCATCCCCAGGCACCAAAGAAGGGCCATGCTCAGGAAGGGAGCCCATGCTGCAGATGCCTGGGCTGGGACCAGGGGTGTGCCAAAAGGCAACGCTGGTAAATGGTGACCCTCTGGTGCCTGAGATGGGTCTCTAGTGGGAATTGCATCAGCTGGACAACCAACCTCTCCCCACCAGGCACCACCTGGGTCAGTGAGATTGTGGACATGGTCCTGAAAGGCGGTGACCCGGAAAAATGCAAGCAGGATGATATTGTGAACCGGGTGCCCATGATGGAGTGTGCTGCCCCTGGGAAGTTACCAGCAGGTAGCGGTGGGGCAGAGGGTGGTGGGTGGCAGTAGGTACTGGAAGGGGACAGGTTTGGTTTTGTATGGGAGGGCACCACAGTGGGATCACTTCTGGGAGAAATCCTTACAGGCACAGATCAGCTGGAGGCCATGCCATCCCCTCGCATCATCAAGACCCACATCCCAGCTCACATCTTGCCCAAATCCTTCTGGGAAAACCGCTGCAAGGTAACAGGCTGGAATGAACATACTTAGAGGGATCCAGGAGACATAAGGGGCTCCCTGCCTTTTTGGGAGCTTGCAAGTCCCCACATGCCACCAAGCTTTCTGCAGATGATCTATGTGGGACGCAACGCCAAGGACGTGGCTGTCTCCTACTACCATTTTGATTTGATGAACAAGTTCCATCCACACCCCGGGACATGGGCCCAGTATCTGGAGGAGTTCATGGCTGGCAAAGGTGGGACAGGGCACCCCGGGGTGCATGCAGGGGACCCTGCAAGGGACTGTCACCTACTGGCTGCTCTCCCCATGCAGTGGCATATGGTTCCTGGTACGACCACGTCAAGGGCTACTGGGAGCGCAGGAAGGATCACCCCATTCTCTACCTCTTCTACGAGGACTTGAAGGAGGTGATGGGGCAGGGTGGATGGTGGTGTGGGGTCTGGGCGTGGCAGGAGGGGTGAGTGTTGGCCTGTGTCACACAGGACCTCCGCCGGGAGATTGCCAAGGTGGCCCAGTTCCTGGGGCAGAAGCTGTCGGAGGCGGCGCTGGACACCATCACCCAACACACGTCCTTTGAGGCCATGCGGGACAACCCTGCCACCAACTACACCAAAATTCCCTCTGACCTCATGGACCACAGCGTGTCGCCCTTCATGCGCAAAGGTGAGCTGCTGTGGGGGGCCTGGCGCACTGTCTGCCCCGGCCCCTGCTGACCCCATCTGGCCCGGCCACAGGCACCACCGGAGACTGGAAGAACCACTTCACCGTGGCCCAGAACGAGCGCTTTGACCAGGACTATGCGCAGAAGATGTCAGGCACCGACCTGTGCTTCCGCACTCAGATCTGAGGGGACACCGCCAGACGCCCCCCAAATCCGCCCTGTGCTGTGATGGCACTGATGCCATTCCTTCCTTTCCCCTGGAACTGCTGGAGAGAAATAAAATGTGCTTCTTGACACTGCATGGGGTGCTCACTGTCCTGAGCTTCTGCTGATCCCCAACCCAGCTGTCCCCCTGGGGCTGCTGTCCTCTTCTTGGGCTGGGGAAAAGCAGGTGTCACCCCTCAGCTGCTGTGGTGGGGGGATTGCCAGCAGCAGCTCATGGGATTGCAGAAGGTTTTGGCCAATCTGTGTATGGGGAACATTTTGGGTGGGTGTGGGCAGTGAGAGGTGTCCTCCCTCCCTTCACACAGCAGGATGTGGCCTGGGAACTGTGGGGCTGTGATTTCCTCTGTGGCCCTGCCTGCAGGTCAGTGGCTGCCGGTTTCTCCCTGCACTTGCTCCTCCCTCCCTGCAGCTGCAGGGCTGGCAAACATTACTGCCCTCAGCGCCCTACCTGTTTCCTTCTCCTTCCCGCAATTACTGCTGCGAGGTCCCGGATCTCCCTGTCCTCTGCTGTCACCCTCCTGGTGTCACTGTCCCGGTGTCACTCTCGCGGCGCAGAGCAGCAGGTCTTAGGTGAGACAGGTAACCCGGGGTGCCCTGTGGGTGCTCTGCCCATTTTCAGCCGCCCAGAGCTGCATGCTGCAGGGTCCAGGGTGGTGGGTTTGGGGCATTTTGGGTTTGTGTGCAATCTGCAACCCTAAACCTTCCCCTGACCTGTGGTCTCCTGCAGTATCCCCAGGACCCAGTTCCCTGCGCTCCAGGGGTGCTGAGGCAAGGGAAGAGGTGCTATTCTAGTCTAGTCCCCTAGGTCTGGGTGATGCTGGCATGCTGTGGGCACCCCTGTCCTTGCTGGGGCTCTGGGTGTGCTCCTGTCCCCTCAGCTGGGAACCCTATTCCCAGCTGTGGGAGCAGTGATGGCCGCGGTGACCTCTGGTCTATGCTCCGGTGCTATCACTGCTGCTCCCTGAGCAGGCACAGTGCCAGGTGACCAGGCTGCCCTGGCTGGTGGCTGCCCTGAGAGGGTGGGGGGGCCTCATCAGCCAGCCCTGCCATATGTCCCCGTCCCCAGCAGATGGCCAATCCGGACCTCTATCTGCGGCAGCCCTGGCTCACAGTGCACGGCATCCCCATGGTCAATGCCTTTGCTCACAACTGGGAACGGGTTGACACCTTCCAGAGCCGACCTGAGGACATCGTGGTGGT